TCTCCTCTCTTGTCCTGTCCTCTCCTCTTCTCTCTTCTCGTATCTTCCCTTCTCGTCTCTTCTCTTCTCTTCTCATATCGTCTCTTCTCTTCTCTTCTCTTCCCTTCTCTTCTCTTCTCTTCTTTTCTCTAACTGCGCTGTTCTTGTCTTCTCGTCTCTTCTCATCTGTTCTCTTCTCTTTTCTTCTCTTCTCTTCTCTTCTGTTCTCTTCTCTTCTTTTCTCTTTTGTTCTCTTACTTCCTTTTTTTTTATCTTCTCCGCTCTTCTCCTTTCGTCTATTCACTTATGTTATGTTATCTTCTCTTCTCTTCTCTTCTCTTCCCTTCCCATCTGTTCTTTTTCTCTTCTCTCCTCTCTTCTCTCTTCTTCTCTTCTCTTATCTTCTCTTCTCTTCTCTTCTCTTCTCTTCTCTTCTCTTCTCTTCTCTTCTCTTCTCTTCTCTTCTCTTCTCATCTCTTCTCTTCTCTCTTCTCTTCTCTTCTCTTCTCTTCTCTTCTCTTCTCTTCTCTTCTCTTCTCTTCTCTTCTCTTCTCTCTCTCTTCTCTCTCTTCTTCTCTTCTCTTCTCTTCTCGTCTCATCTCTTCTCTTCTCTCTTCTCTCCTCTTCGTCTCTCTTATCTTATCTTCTCTTCTCCCAACTGATCTCCTCTCCTCTCCTCTTCTCTTCTCTTCTCTTCTCTACTCTTCTCTTCTCTTCTCTTCTCTTCTCTTCTCTTCTCTTCTCTTCTCTTCTCTTCTCTTCTCTTCTCTTCTCTTCTCTTCTCTTCTCTTTTTCATTATCCTCATCGCTCTCCCTGCCTTCTCCTTCTCCCTCTCCTTGCCCCCATGCTCCCTCCTCCTCCGTATCCTAAGCCCTCCTTCTCATATGTGGCCGTCTGTGTCCCTCGTCCCGTTTTTGATCGGCCGGCATCGGGTGCACCAGCGAGGACGCGCTGCAGCGCTGCCGCGGCACCCTCGGCGGCAGCCTTGGTGTCAGCGTCGCCACGCTCGACGTGCTCTCCCAGATCGGCTCCGAGGCCCTCCGATCGCAGATCGCCCGCGCGCGCCCCCCGCCGCCTCTCTTGCGGAGCGGGCCCCGGCGGAGCTCGCACGCCGCCGCGCGCGTGGGCCTCTCTCGCGCAAGCCGCTGCTCCGGGCCCCAGTGGTATGCACCGCCACCACCTCCACTCCCCCTGCCTCCCCCTCCTCCTCTTCCCTCCATTCCCCCTCCTCCTCCATTCCTTCTCCTTATGAATCATTTCTCCCCGTCGCACCCCGAGGCCAGTTTTCAGGGCGAAGGGCGTTTCGCCTGAGACTTCTTTACCATTTGTGAGCCTCAGCCCCTAAAAGTGACAGCAGTTTCACAAAGGGAGGGCGGGTGGTTTTCAAATGTGCCCCTCGCCTTAGCGCCACGCACATTCGTTTTCAAAATTTGCACGAGTTTCACGGATTGGGGGCGGGTCGCTTTCAAAATGTGACCCTCTCCTTAGCGCCGCGCACATTCGTTTTCAACATTTGCAAGAGTTTCACGGATTGAGGGCGGGTGGTTTTCAAAATGTGGCCCTCTCTTCAGCGCTGCGCACGTTCGTGTTCAAAATTTGCAAGAGTTTCACGGATTGTGGGCGGGTGGTTTTCAAAATGTGGCTCTCTCCCCAGCGCCGCGCACATTAATTTTAAAACATATGCAAGCGTTTCACGGATTCCCATGATCAACGTACCAGACTGGTGCTTTGGAAGGATTCAGGATTACGCGGGTGCAGCAGTTCTGTTGATTCGCGGTAGTCAAATCCCAGACATGCCGTTATGGCACGATTCCGGATCGTAAAAACGCAGCAGTCAAGTTGATACGTGGCGTTGGAGTCCCGAGAACAATGTTTTGGCATGCTTCAGGATCTTCAAACAGTTGTCTTCCAACGAGGCAGTTCCCTCAATGGAAATGAACCGTTGTAGGGGCCTATGAAGAGGGAGCTTGGAGGGAGGATTAATCCAAACATCGTTGATAATTCTTGGGTTTACGCTGGTCCTCCTCCTCCTCCTTCCTCCTTCCTCCCTCCCTACCTCCCTCCCTTCCCCCTCCTCCTCACCTCCTCCTGCCTGTCGGGGGGGGGATGAGGGAGGCGGTGGTGGTGGACATCTTGGGGCCCCGCAGCTGATAGGCGGCGGCAGCCCGCAGCCGGCAGCAGCCGCGACAGGGACATGCAGCGGCAACCCATCGGCAGCAGGCGGCGGCGGCGACGACGGCCACGGGGCAGGGCCGCCGCGGCTCTGCCGCCCCGCGGCGGCCCCGTCGAAAGCGGTCGTCGCGGCCGTCACGCATGCAGCAGCCTCCTCGCGAGGCGTGCGCTCTGAACGTTGCGCCGTTTCGGGAGTCCGATGTTTGCATGAGTTGTTTTGGGCAGTTCTGGAGGTTCTCGTCGCCGCGGCTGGACGCGGCTTGGAGCGCTGGCCAGCACGGATCCCTGGAGGGGTCGGAATACAGCTTTGGGGCGGATTTGGTCGGGCGACGACGGCAGTTACAGTAGGCACATCAAGATATTGAGATCGGCCTGCCAGCAGGTGTCCCACGGAAATTCCTTATCCGCCGACGGCCCCAGGGACCCACAGAAGCTCTGGGGCACCTTAGGGGCCCCTCAAGATCGACGCAGAGTGTGCCCCAAGGTTCTTATAGCAAGAATTCTCATCGTACGTGTCCACTTTACCTTCTCATGCAAGCCGTTGCCCAGCCTGGCTCACGTTCTACGCAGCGCCTCGTGCTCGACGCTGCGCGCCAGGATGATGTCCCCGTGTCCCCGTGCCTGCTTGGCCTTCCTGCCCGACCGCGTGCCCGCTCTGCGCTCTGAGCGGGGCCAGCAACCCTTCACTCCGCACCTGCTAGCGCCGTAGTTCTCGGCGCGGGGATGCAGAAGTCTCCGCCGTGGGCAAGAGCTGTCTGCTTGCTTGGGTGGTCGTCCGGTTCCTTGCGCACTGGCTTGCGCGTATCCTTGTCAGTTCGCCTGCCTGCTTCAGTGCCGACCGACGTGCTCGCTTGCGTGTCTGCCTGTCGTGCCTGCATTCGCTCTTGCTCGCCTGCTTGTGTGTCTGCTCATGAGACTGTTCGTACCTTATTGAATTAGCTTGGATGTTTTGTGTCTGGGTTGGTTGGGCTCGTCTGGTTCCGTCTGCTTGCTCTCCCTACCTGCGCTGTCGCCCGCTGGTCCCCTACGTTTTAGTCCTGCGTGCCCCCGGTGTGTTGGTTTGGCGAATGTTCTACGCCAGAGTGGAGGCCTGAATCTGCGTGTTTATTCACGACTTCGCGAGTCTGATCGATTATTGGCTTGGCACGGTATCTTTCTCCCGTGTCTCGGCCGCATGCGCAGGACAGCCTCGCTACGTTGCCGTGGCTACGCCCGTTTTAGTTTATCAGCACTGGCAAAGGTCTCGCGTGTTGGCTCGCCTATCCCAGGTTGGCCCTCAGATGATTCCAGGTTCGACTAGCGCATGTGGGCAGGCACCATTGGTATATTTGCTGGGAGGGAAGAAGTGATTGATTGCTCGCTTGCCGCAATGTTTTTTTCGCATCACTTCTCGTTTCCATTTCTGTATGCCTGCTTGCCCGGTTGGTTGCTTGCTTGCTTGCATTCTCGATCGCGTTGCTTCGAGCATGCCAGCTTGGGAACATGCTTGCGTAACGTTTTCCTGTGCGTGCTTGCCGCGCAAGGATGCTCCACCTTGAAACCGTCGAGGTACAGCACTGAATGCAATAGGACCCGTCAGTAGGTGCCCGTCGCAGTGGACACGAGGTACGATGGATGGCGAAGAGGAGGTTAGGTGGACACGGGGTGTGATGGATGGGCGAGGGGGAGAGAAGAGGACGTCGGGTCAATGGAGGATGAGGCACAGCAGGCAACGCTATGAAGAGGAGTGCTGGAAGAGGATGCTGCTGCTGCCGATGATGGCGAATACGATGGCGAGAGAGGGAGCAGCATGGAAGAGGGAACAGCTCGTTTGGTGCTGGGCGCACCCAGGGACCGTGGGCGGTGGTGGCAGCGGGTGGTGCTGATGGCGCAGCATCCCGTGGCCGCAGGCGCCAGCGCCCGGGGCTGGCCGCGACTGGTGGCACATCTCTGCGCACTGCGACTCCGACAGCGGCCAGCTCGTGTTCGAGGAGTCCGCGGCTGCTCTCCCGGGTGCACAGGGCCCCCGCTGCAGCCAGTTTTCGTCCCGTATAGCTAGACATCGTCAGGACCGTTTCCACGCACAGAGAACTCCTGAGGGCCACGGCCCGCATGCCATTCGGCAAAAGCGTAAAACATAATGACATCTTCTCAGAAGCTTGCCACGATCTAGCCCCAGTGTCGACAATCTCGTCTGGACGTGATGAATGTGTGCCTGCTTCCAAACACTCCTGAACGATTGGGTGGCAGCACAGTATCCATCAATGTCCAGTGAAGGAAGACGCCCATCTTGCTTGGACAAAAACGTGGATGAGATGATGCACTATGGATTTGAGTCGTTCAGACGTTCGACGACCGATTGCCCTACAAGTGGACGGGCGGCGGGGAGGAGACGGAGGAGAGAAGCAACAAAGCACGAGTAACATGCGGACGAGGGGACCTTTATTCCTGATCTGATGATCCCTACAGCGCCCGGGAGTATGTTTTGTCAGTCTCCGCAAATAGTTGCTACATTGGACATAGGAATGGCTTTTGCTTATCAGAGATATGGCCAAACCGTAGGCTTAGTTTCACTTGGTCATCGGTCATTTGCCAGCGTGCTGAAACAACGCTTCCTGCACGCTGGAGTGGACAACCGCGCTTGGCCACTGTGGCCGCTGTCGATCCTTGCGCTGCAGGGAGGACCCTATCTGCATAGCCGGTAAACAACTTGAGCTCGCGCATGCACAGCGAAACGTTCTTGTCCACCGAGGCGCTGTACTAAACTTTCGACAGCGTGCGGACTGGGTGTCTGCTGCATGTGCTTGCGCGTTTTGGCATCATACCGAAACACGTGCGAATCATCCGCCACATTCCGATGCATGTGATTCTTCGTGGAGGATTTTGGTATCAAATCGGGCGAACTGCCACAGTGAGATGAGATCTTGTAGATATGCACACATTCAGCCCGATCTTGTTCATCACATCCATGTCGGCACTGTTTGAGGATGCATCCGCCATGCTTCCCTGGCCAGCAGAACAGGCACATCGATACAAATGCATGGCCGAAATTGATTGTGGGGATGACGCGCTTCTCTTGGGTGCAGGTGCTGACTGCTGCGCGGAGGGTGTTCCGCGGGCATACGGCCTCGAATTTCATTTCGACAGTGTCCAATTGATGCAGGCCAACTCGCGCATGTCGATTGCTTTTTCGGAAGCCATACCTAGCAAGGACAGCGTTGTCTATGTCGGTTCGTCGTTGTCAGCAGACGGTCGAATGAGCCGAGGATTGGGTCGCTCGATTGGGGCGGCAGCGGCATTCTTCCGGTCCCGTGGCAAGTTCCGCAGCATTCGTTTCTGCCGCTCAGACGGCGTCATTTGGCTTGGCTTATCAGTCCCTGACAGATTTCGGCTTTCTCTACGTGCTTGCCAGGGGGTTGCCTCACGCTGGCGGAGTCTAGAATGCCCAACGCTTGTGTCGCAGGCTTCTGCGGTGCTTCTGTGCAAGCCCGCCGCTGACAGCTGCTCTCCCCTCCCCCCGGCCCCTCTTCCTCTGGCCCTCGCCCCGGGCCCCCGGCCCCCCTGTCCTCGTGGCTCCTTCGTCCTCCCCCGCTGGCACTGCCCCGGCCCCCCGCTCCCCGGGCCCCAGCCCCACGGGGCGTGTGCGGGGGCTATGGTGCAGGCTGTCGTGACCAGAATCCTCGGGGAGGAGGCGCCGTCCTCACTTCTGTGATGCCTGGCAGGTGTGTTGCCGTTGGAAAAAAACTCTGGCCCGTCTCCTCCTCCTCCTCCTCCGCCTCCTCCCCCTCCTCCCCCTCCCCCTCCTCCTCCTCCTCCTCCTCCTCCTCCTCCTCCTCCTCCTCCTCCTCGTTTTCGCGGCTCGTGCGCCTGCCCACCCCGGCGCTCTGCGCCGGCTCTCCTCTCGGGGCTCTGGGTCCCTCTCTCTCTTGTCGTGGCCCCCGGTTGCGTCCCCGGGCCCGCTTCGCTGGCCCAGGGCCCCCTCTGTGTGTTCTCTCGCGCAGCTGCGCTCCAGAGAACATTTTTTTCGGGACGCGGGCCCCTGCGCAGTTTCGTTTGGACGGGGCCCGTTGGGCCGCTTGCCTCTCCCTCTCTCTCTCTTTTTTTTTTTTTCGGTTCTATCTCTCTCTCTCTGTCTCTCTCTCTCTGTGTCTCCGTCTCTCTCTCTCTCTCGCGCATAGTCGACCCGAGCAATGTTCAGTTTGTATTGTGGCTTCTGTCTATGGTTGGTGCCACTGGATCGCCGGCTTGCCCTGGCGACGTACAGCAGGACCCCCCATCAAGCATTCTACAATTTCGGGTAGTTTCTTGTAATCCTAATCCCCCTTCTCTCCCTCGTCCTTTCTCTTCCTCTTCTTCTTCCTCCTCCTCCTCCTTCTCCTCTTCCTCCTCCTCCTCCTCCTCGCGCGGCTGCCTCTTTCGAGTCAGACCGGGGTGATTCTGGAACGCAGTCTAATACCAGCCTTGCCGCCTTTTGCCACGGGGTGCACGGTTGTACCTTGTGCTGCGTCGCGGTCGTCCCCTTCCTCTTCCATTTTTTCCTTTCCCATGCAATAGCGCTAGAGAAAAACCACAGCGGTGCTGTAGAGCGCGGACCTTTATATCTTCTCTCGTGACTTGTCCCTGGCCTCCCTGGCTGACCTCCCCCCCGCCGGGCCGCAGAACTCTTTATCTAATTGAACGCCCCTGAGGGGGCAGACACCGCCTCCCCACCTTTTTTGGATCGTGGCCCCGTGGGAATGGGGGGGGCCAAGACGGCGCCACAGAGTCCAATCTGTTCGAGATGACGACCCAACAAGGCCGCTTGAGGCTTCGAAAATAGGGCCGAGTGGAGCCCATGGGTGTCGAAAACTACGGGCGTGACCGACGACGCACGCGGAGATGGAGGCAGGAGCGAGCGCATGTCAGTAATAGGGCCTTGGAGGGGCCTCCGGGGACCTCCTGGGAGCGCCCAGGACAGCTGAAGAGAGCGGCACAGAAGGGCCAGGACGGCTCGAGAGGGGTCTTATAGATGTTTGCAGGATAGCTCGAGAAGCTCTGGTTCGGTGTCTGTTCATGGGAGCCTCGGGCGGCGACACTGAGATCAGCCCTTCCTGCATGTGGACCGCGTGGGGACCACATTTGGCTCATCCGCCTGCTCCTCCTCTCCCGTCCTCTTCCCCCTCCCCTCCTCGTTCTCCTAGTCCCCGCGAATCCAGTCCAAATCTGGTCCAAATCTGGTCCAAATTTGTTCCAAATCCGGTCCAAATCAGGCCCGAACTGGACAGCGCTGGGGGCCACGCAGGCTCCCATGGAACGGACACCAAACTCCTGGGAGTGGCGTGCCGGTTTAGGTGCTTGGAGATTGCAGGAGGCGAGGTAGATAGGGAAAGGGCAACGTACAGACAGGGAGGCGTCAGAGGGGTGAGAGGCAGCAAATCAGTGTTCCGAGGAAACCTGGAAGGGGATTGGGCAGCAGCGGTGAGAGCCATGTCGACATGGACTACACACGCGCAAAATGTATGTGGAAGGTCTCCTGCCTCTTTCCACTGTCCAGCTGGCTTTCCATAAGGCTTGCGCGAAGGCCGTATGCGGCATGCGCACTCTTATTCTTTGACTTCTCTGCGTGTAGAGTCTTGGAGGCTTGGTCAGGTAGGAGGAGGGCAATATTGAAATGGTACTAGAGGGATAGAGAGGGGGTGGTCAAAGATGGCCCCAGAGGGTCTCAAAACCCGCCACAACATTTGCACATCACAGGTGGAGAGGGGGCTCTAAGACGGCCCCAGAGGGTCTCCAACCACAACCAAACTTGAATTTGAAATGATCCCAGATGGCGAGAGGGGGGGCGAAAACGGTTCCAGAGGGCTTACCAAAAACGACGGGAAGCTGTCGAGGAGGGTTCGAGGAGGTTGCTAACGAAACTGAAGAGGGATACGCTGAGGCAGAGAGGGGCACCCTAGTTAGTTTTTGGCTCCTGGAAGGGGCCCCTGGGGCTCTCAAGGGGCGCCCCAGACGGCCGAAAAAGGCGCCAAGGAGGCGCCCTGATGGCCGAGGAGGGCCCTGAGAGGCTGTGGGGACGGCCGCAAAGAGCACCCGCAGGGTGTAAGCTGGCCGCAAGAGCCCGCAGAGTTGCAGGAGAGCTCCAAGAGATGCGCAAGGAGAAACCCGAGAAAGCTAGAATCGTCAAAATCCGATGTGCTCTACGATGTTTTCTGCTTGTTGGGGTTTCCTTGGTTATGTGAGTCGAAGAGAGGTGGAGAGGCATCCGGAACGGCCGAAGGGAGGCGGAAGGATTGTCAAGATGAGGCCAGCAGGGGCCCGAGAGGCGCCTAAAACCAGCCTTGTGGGCTCCCGGATAGGTCTTTGAGAGCGCCCAGCGGCGCCCGGAAACAGAGCTCGTGAAAGGTGAGTCGCTTTGAGGCGGAAGTGGCGGCCAGAGGGCGGCCAGTCCGTAGCTGGGGCGCCCAGGCCGGCGGAATGAGCGAGCCCCGTGTAGGACCCTCGGAGGGGGTTGTGAGAGCTCGGGGGGCAGGGGTTGGCATGACAAGTGCGCGAGCGAGAGGACTCGCGGAACGCACTCTTGCAGACTGTGCGGTGGGGTCCCACACGCCGCGCCCAGTGGGGCGGCGAATCGCCTCCCTGGCTGGCCTCCCCCCCGCCGGGCCGCGGAACCCTTTGTTTAAGCGCTCCACTCCTTCCGCCAGCCCATTGCGCATCACAGAGGCTGCATGGTGGTGTGCTCGCACCCATGGGGAACGGTAGGACAGGCAGGACTGTCCTCGAGGAGATCTTTGGAGATGTGGCTCGCAGCCTGTCGAAAAGAGCCGATCGACTACCCCAGAGGGCGCCAGGATGGCTCAAGAGAGCCTCAGCAGAGTTTCAAGACGTACTTGGGTCGGAGGGCAGTCGGGAGTCTCTTGGGAGCAGTTTTGAGGCCTCTGGGGAGCCTCTTGGGCTTCTTTGGGGGCCTCTTGGGGGTCTTGGGGGCCTCTTTTGGGACCTCTTGGGGCTTCTCGGGGGGCTCTTGGGGGACTCTGGGGGCTTCCTGGGTGCCTCTTGAAGCCGAGAGCTCGAAATGTCTGTTCGGGTTCCCCCTCTGGGCCCTTTGTTGGGGCCATCCTGTGGCCGTCTTGGAGGCCTCTTGGGCCGTCTTAAGGCCATCTTAGGTCATTTGAGAGCCCTCTTGGATGCTTTTTGGGCCGTCTTGGAGCGAGCGTGGGGCCTCTTAGGTCGTCCAGGGCGGTCGGCAGCTCGAAAAGGCGGTACCGCCAAAGTCGTCCGAAAACCTCAGCGAAACCGATCATGTTTGCGTCTTCGGAGCCTCTCGAAATCCTCTTGGAACCCTCCTGGAGCCGCTTCGTGGGCCGTCAACTCAAAGATTAAACTTCGATTCGCGCCCCCAGGGCCACACACCCTCGTCAATTACACCGTACCTGCGCCCCCGAGGCCACCAACCATTTTTGTGTCGTCGGGGCCTCTCGAAATCCTCTCGGAACCCTCCTGGCGCTTCTTGGGCGCTTCGTGGGCCGCCAGACGCGGCGGAGGCCGTGGGGCCGTGCCGCCCTCTTGGCGCCTCACTCGTGGGGGTGCTCGGCGGGCCCCCGGAGGCCGCGCCCGGGAGTTCGGGCCTCCGTGACCCGACCCTGCCGGGACCTCTGCCGGGACCTCTGCCGGGGCCTCGCCGGGGTGCTCTTCGTCCGTGGACCCCCCGGGGGCCGCCACGCGCGCACGAACCAGACATATTCTTGAACTCTTGCCAGCGATTCTGCCACGCCTCTGGTCCGCTGGGCCGGCGACTCTTCGCTCGTGGTTCGTTCGTTCGTGGTTCGTCCCTGGCCCACCTGGCCTTCCCCCCTGGGCCGCGGCTCCTTCGTGCAAGAGCCAAGGCACGCGTGCCACTTCTTGGGTTGTGTTCTACGCCAGCTGGAAAATTCAGCGAGAGCTTCTTGCCAGCGACACGCACGTCCTCTGTGCAGTGAGTGACGCTTCCATGTGGCGCTTCAGACTGCGAAAACCGTGTTTGCATATTCCATATGCTGGTTTGCGTGCTTATGGATTGCTTCAGCTCGCGGCACGAATCGGAGTCCCCTCTCTGGCTGCTGCTGCTGCTGCCGCTCTTTTCCTGCTCCTGTCTTCCACTCGCCGCTGGCGGTGCCGCCTGAAGGACGGCCTGGGAGGTGCACACCTGCTGCCAACGGCCGCGCTGGGAGTGGCGCTGCGTAGGCCCCCGGCCCCCGCGCGGCTCGCCCCCGGATATGCCCATACAGAAGTCGGCCCGACGGTTGCTCGAGGCCCAGAGTTCTGGCGACTCGAGGCTGTTCGATGTTCGAGTTTGTTCGGCGCTTTGCGTCGCCACTCTTGGATTCCCTTCGGAATTCTGGCCAGAACGCTCCCCAGGAGAGGCCCAGGTGTCCGTTCTGAGGGGAGATGCAGCTGCGGACACGGACAAGGACGCATGCACGGCTTTTTGTTGTTGTCGTCGTCGTCGTTGTTGTTCTTGTTGTTGTTGTTGTTGTTGTTGTTGCTGCTGTTCTAGTTACTGTAGTAGTAGTAGTAGTAGTAGTAGTAGTAGTAGTAGTAGTGGTAGTGGTAGTGGTAGTGGTAGTGGTAGTGGTAGTGGTAGTGGTAGTGGTAGTGGTAGTACTAGTAGTAGTAGTAGTAGTAGTAGTAGTAGTAGTAGTAGTAGTAGTAGTAGTAGTAGTTATGGTTGTTCTTGCTACTGTTGTTGTTACTGTTGATGCGATTGTTGTTTTTGTTGTTGTTATTATTGTTGTTATTGTTGTTGTTATGGTTGTTGTTGTCGTTGTTGTGTTTGTTGCTGTTGATGTTGTCGTTGTTGTTATTGTTGTAGTTGTCGTTGTCGTTGTCGTTGTTGTTTTTGTTGTGGTTGTTGTTGTTATTATTTGTTGTTGGTTGTGGTTGTGGTTGTGGTTGTTGTTGTTGTTGTTGTTGTCGTTGGCGTTGTCGTTGTCATTCTTGTTGTGGTTGTTGTTGTTGTTGCTATTGTTGTTATTTGTTGTTGGTTATGGTTATGGTTGTGGTTGTGGTTGTGGTTGTGGTTGTGGTTGTGGTCGTGGTCGTGGTTGTGGTTGTGGTTGTGGTGGTTGTTGTTGTTGTTGTTGTTGTTGTTGTTGTTGTTGAACAGGAGCGGGCGCCGGACCCCGGCGCTCCCCCCCAACAACAACAGCAACAACAACAACAACGCGGACGGCTCCGGCTCGAGACTTCTTCGCAATCCACTGAGGGATGATGGATTCCTACACGGGGGTCTCGGCGCTCCCCCCCCGCACCCCTACGTCCCTGCACTCCCACGCCCCCAGACACCCAAAGGGCCCCCAAACACCCAGAGGGACGCCCTGTAGGGATCCAACTTCAGCCGTATGGACCCCCATAGGGGATCCTGCCACAGCTGTGATGGATGGCTACAGGCATCGTATCAGAGCTGCATCGGTACTTATAAGGATCGTACCAGAGCTGTAAGGATTCTCGTAGGGATTGCTCCAGAGATGGAAGGTTTCGGGCAAATTTCGGAGCACCTCTCACACGTTTCGTGGCCCCGCATGGCGTTCCCCCTAAGGCTTCGGGTCCATTTCGGAACACCCCTCGCACGTTTCGTGGCCCTTAGTACAGCTGGTAGGATTCCTACATGGATTCTATTACAGCTGGTAGGATTCCTGTGGGGATCCTGTTGCAGTTCTTAGGATCCCTCTGGTATCCTATGACAGCTGCTAGGATCCCTGTAGGGATCCTGTGACAGCCGGTAGGATCCCTGTGTGATCTTATTGCAGCTGGTAGGATCCTTGTAGGGATCCTACTGCAGCTGGTCGGACACTTGTAGGGATCCCATGACAGCTGGTAGGATCCTTGTGGGCATCCTACTGCAGCCGTGACGATGTCTGTAAGGATCCTAGTGCAGCTGGTAGCACCCCTGTGGGGATCCTACTACAGCTTGTAGGATCCTTATGAGGATCCTGTGACAGCTGGTAGGATCCCTGTAGGGATCCTCTTACAGCTAGCAGGATCCCTATGGGGATTCTGCCATAGCCAGTAGGACCCCTGAGGGATCTTATGCAGCTGGTAGAATCCTTATAGGGACCCTTGTGCAGCTGGTAGGACCCCTGTTGGGATCCTATGACAGCTGGTAGGATCCCTGTCGGGATCCTGTTGCAGCTGGGAGGATCCTTATAATGGTGCTAGTGCAGCTGGTAGGATCCCTGTAGGGATCTTTTTGCAGCTGGCCGGGTCCCTAGAGGTATCCAGTGTCAGCTGGTAGGACCCCTGTAGGGCTCCTATTGCAGCTGGTCGGATTCTTGTAGGGCTCCTATTGCAGCTGGCAGGGTCCTTATAAGGATCCTGCAGACATGGTTTCTGTAGGATCCCTACATGTTTTCTGTGGGATCCCTACTGGGTTTCTGTAGGATCCCTGTAGGGATTCTTTTGCAGCTGGGAGGATGCCTATAAGGATCCTCGTGCAGCTGGTAGGATCCCTATTGGGATCTTATTGCAGCTGGTCGGATCCCTATAAGGATCTCCTTGCAGCTGGTAGGATCCCTGTGGGGATCTTCTTGCAGTTGGTAGGATCCCTGTAGGGATCCTATGATAGCTGGAAGGATCCCTGTAGGGATCCTGGTGCAGCTGATAGGATCCCTGTAGTAGGAACCCAATAGGGCTTCTGCAGGATAGGGCTTCTGTATGATCCCTATATGGATCCTACTGCAGCTGGTAGGATTCTTATAAGGATCCTATTGCGGCTGGGAGGATCCCTATAATGATCCTAGTGCAACTGGTCGGATCCCTGTAGGGATCCTGTTGTAGCTGGTAGGACCCCTGTAGGGATCCTAGTGCAGCTGGCGGGATCCCCATAAGGATCTTATTGCAGCTGTTCGGATCCTTTCAGGGATCCCATGACAGCTGGTAGGATCCCTGTCGGGATCTTATTGCAGCTGGTATGATCCCTATAGGCGTTTTGTAGGATCCCTATAGGGATCCCACTGAAGCTGAGACGATCCCTATGAGGATCCTGTTGCAGCTGGTCGGATCCCTAGTTGGGGTCCTATGACAGCTGGTAGGATCCCTGTAGGGATCGAAATTCAGTTGGTAGGATCCCTATAAGGATCTCATTGCAGTTGGTAGGCTTCCTATCAGGGATCCACTGACAGCTGGCAGCATCCCTGTAGGGATCCAGTTGCAGCTGGTAGGATCCCTGTAGGGATCCTGTTGCAGCTGGTAGGATCGTTGTACAGATCCGATGACAGCTGGTCGGGTCCCTGTAGGGATCTCATTAAAGCTGGTATCCCTGTAGGGATCCTATGGCAGCTGGTAGGATCCCTCCTAGGGATCCTGTAGGATCCTTATATGGTTTCTGTAGGATCCCTACTCGGGTTTCTGTAGGATCCCTATGGGGTTTCTGTAGGATCCCAGTAGATTTTCTGTACGATCCCTATAGGCTTCCTGTCGGATCCTTATCGGGTTCTCTGTAGGATCCATATAGGGTTTCTGTAGGATCCTCATCGTATTTCAGTAGGATTATTGTAGGTTTTCTGTGGGATTCCTATAGGGTTCCTATCATAGGGTTTTTGTCGGATCCTCATAGGATTTTTGTAGGATTCTTTTAGGGTTTCTGTAGGAGCCTCGCTTCGCTAGCGCGCACACGTACGTCACCACTCCGATTCAGCACCGGAGTCCGGAGGGTCTCCTCCATTTTTTTGTTATTCATTTCTGGCGTCGTCGTTGTTGTTGTTGTTGTTGTTTTTTTGGGGGGGGGGGACCCTGGGGTCAGGGGGCGACTCCCTGCCCCCACCTGGAGGAGAGCTCTGGAGGAGCCCCGAGCGCCAGGGTCCTGGGAAGGTCCCTGTCTTTGTTGTTGTTGTTGTTGTTGTTGTTGTTGTTGTTGTTGTTGTTGTTGTTGTTGTTGTTGTTGAACATTATTACTTCTAAAGAATAATTATTGTTGGGGCCCCTGGTGCACGACCCCCCCGCCGCGCCTAGGCCGCAGCCTCATTTTCATCATTTTCGTGAGGAAGTCTCAGGCAAAACGGGGGAGTCCGGATCCGGTTGTGTTGTTACGATCGGTTTTCCCTTGCAAAAAATAAGCTAAAGTGGACATTTCTTGTTCTAACATAACCAAACTTCAAGAATCCCTTGCAAAAAATAAGGTAAAGTGGACATTCGCGCGCGCAAGACGAAATCCTTCCAAAACCTTAGTTTTCGTAGCGATTTTAACATAAAAACATCAAAAAACCAATGGTTTTTCAAAAAAAAATGTCAAAATTTCATCCCGCGCGCTCTTGCGGATTCGTAGGAAACCCAACACTTTTTAAACATTTCTGTCAAACGGGCTTTTGCGAGCAACTTTTTCGAACTTCTGCAACAACGGTTGCGCACCTGCCAGGGCCATCATCCCTGTCAAATAATACCATGCGGGACACATTCGTTTTTTCTTCGCGCGCGCACGCCGTCGTCGTCGGCCGCGGGGCCCTGAATAGTAGCCACGGTCGTCCGCATGCCACGAAGTGAAGTGTCCGAACGTCATAGGGCGGGAAGCTGGGTGTGGGTGGTGGCGAAGAGTCGTTTGGAAATTTGGTAGAGCTTGAACCGGCCCCCCCACAAAGTGGGGGTATTGCCCGCCTCCTATGAAAACCCTGGCACTGGTGAGAACGGTGTGTCCCCACGTGCTAGTAATTGTTGTTGTTGTTGTTGTTGTTGTTGTTGTTGTTGTTGTTGTTGTTGTTGTTGTTGTCCTCGGCAGCTGCGTGCTCCGCAACAGCGATTCCAGTCGGTGCAGTGGCGGATGAGGGTAGTGAGCAGAGAGGAGAGACGGACCAGGAAAACTGCGGCCAGGGCGGAAACGCCATCGAGGACGTCGGTACGGCGCTCCCCTGACGCATGCGCACACGCATGCGCGGCGACGGGCGTAGGACATGGTTCAGGAGCAGATGCAGTCCAGGGTTCATTCATCGACCCTCGGCCTTGTCATGGGGTGCGTCTTGGCCAGAACGTCGAGGCGGATTCAGCGGCGGCGACGAGGGCGCACCCAGGGGCCTAGGAAGAGCGAAAGACGTCAAAAGACATGGATCTTCGGTCCTCCAGGTCCGCCGGCCAAAATCCGCTCACAGTCAGTCCCTGGGCCCCCCCCACGCGTTGCCCTTCCTGGGCAGTGTCTTCAGGCCGAATCGATTTTGACAGCCCTTGGTGTTCAAAAGTGGGCCTCCAGAGGCCGAAGACTCAGGATACCTCTTCGAACCTGCACCGGATCGGCATGCACAGGCGTAGAGAGGCGTATTCTCTCCTCCGGCGTTCCATTGACATCGTTCTACGAGGCATTTTGACTTGCGTGGGCGTGGCTTCGTGAACGTGTGTATGTGTGTGTGTGTGGTTGTATATTTATCGAGCCCGTCTATTGATGGTCTCGGGGTTGGGAAACCCCCCCCCGAAGTTTGAAATGGATGACAAGTCTTCGTTCAAGATTTTTGCTGCGACGCCCCGATCTGAGGGTCTGGGTCCGGGGGTCCAACCTCGGCCCCCAGACTTGCCCCCGGGCGCGTTCTGGCCAGACTTCCCGTTGAAATTCAGCCGACGGCGCCCGAGAGGCCCAGAAAACAGCCAACGACCTCGAGCCTCGAGCCCCGAACCCGGAACCTCGATCCTCCAACTTCGGGGCGTGGGTATGGGAGCGTGGACGGAAGGCGCGCGGACGGGATCGAACGTGCCATGAATGCGTCTTTTGCGGCTGACCCGGTGTTGTGCAGCGTCGACTGCGCCGTGACTGCGCCCCCTGAGTAATGGAAACTGCCCCAGTGCCGACCCCTGGGATCAACGGGGAGGCGAATTCCCGTTGGCCTGCGGGGCTGCGGTGCCAGAGGCCATGTCGGGTCGAGCAAAAGGAGGGGATGCAGCCCAGGGGAGGACCTAAACGGTGTTTTGGCGATTTCGTGGGCCGTTTTCGTTTCGATTTTGTTTTGCGTTGAAGGTGGATTGAAGACAAAACGAGGGAAAACGAAAACAAAACGAAATCGAAAAACATCGTTTAGGTTTAGCCCTGATGCAGCCAGTTTTGGCCCTGCCGCAGGCCACCTCTCCTCGATACGTGTGCCCCTCCCGGCGCCCTGAGGTGCCAGGCAAATCATATATGGTAGCCTCATGCAGCATTGGCGCGCCGGCGCCGCTGGCGACGCTGGCGAAGGCGTTCAAGGTTGAATTCTGCGACGCGGAAGGACCTATGGACACGGTAATACCCCCGGACCCGATTTCAGGCAGCTTTGGACGATCGGGGTCACGATCGATTCCAGGTTGAACGATCGACGCGGTGTCAAGAACCTGTGCGCGCGCCGACGTTGCACGAACCTGCCGTACGTGGGCTGACCTGCTAGCCTTGTGGAAGTCGACTAATGGAGAAGAAGCATGCTGCCAAATAATTTCTAGATGTCGAAGGAATGTTCAAACATGTTTTAAATATTAAAAACAGGTTTGAAACATTTTTAGAACATGTCTTACATATATTAAACACATTTTCAATCCAATGGTCGGATTGCTAGAGTGTTTATTGTCGTGGCATCCACAATGCTAGCCCCCTTGTCCCCCCTCCGTGTGTTGCTAGAAGTGGTCCTGGCCCAGGGTGCCCCCAACTTCTCGCGCCCCTGCGGGGCCCCCCCTGGGGCCCCGCGGGCCTTGCGATGGGGAGGGCCCGGGAGGAGGCCACCTGGGCCTCCCCGGGGGACACCGGGGGACACCCTGGGCGCTTGGGGGTCCTGCAATGGAGGGGCGACAACTGGGGGGGGCAGCGAGGGCTGCCGAAAATCGACGAGCGCGTTCCACTATTCGCAAAATAACCACTCGCAAACGGCCTGGATCCCCCGCCGGGGATCTACGATAAATTGCATCAGAGCAGACAGGTGTTTTGTCGGACGTTTGCGAGTAGGCACTTTGCGAGTAGTGGAACGCGCTCGGCGAGAAAAGGGGCCCTCGAGGGCTCCAAAAATGGGCCCTTTAGGGCTCCAGATGGGGCCTTTGTGGCCCGAGCGAAAGGGTACCCTTCTCCCCCCCCTTGATCGCCCCCTACGAATTCGCCCCCCAGGGTCGAGGCTCGAGACGGGGGTCCATGCAAACGGGGGTCAGCCCGAGCGCTGGATTTTGCCAGATATCCTGCAGAGCCAGGGGCGCACCGACCCGGACCTGCATTGACCCGGGTCAACAGAGCCCCGACTGGGCCAGGGACGCCTTTGGCGACGCCCCCCTCCGCCGCCCCGACCCGAGCATGGGCACGCGGACGTGCCCCGCGCGGGCGGGGCCTCCTGGCCAGGCCGCCCCTGGGCGTGGTGCTGCTGGCCTGCTGCAGCGAGCAGGCGGGCAGGCGCCTCGTCGAGGGCGGCGTGCCTTTCGTGCTCGCCACCGTAGGCGGGCCCGGCGCCGGAGAGGGGAGAGGGCGAGGGCGAGGGCGAGAGCGAGGGCGAGGGCGAGGGCGAGGGCGAGGGCGAGGGCGAGGGAGGAGGAGGAGGAGCCTCCAGGAGGGAGGGGGGCCGGGGGAGGTCTGCTTCGCCCGAGGCCCGCTCCGCCCGAGGCCCGCTGCGCCCCTGCCCGCGTCGCCCTGGCCCGCTTCTCCCGCCGCCGTGTCTCACTGCGGTCGTCGTTGGTCGTGGTCGAGGATTTTTGGGGGAGGGGGCGAGGAGGCGAGGAGGAGGACGGGGATTGTTTCCCGACATCAGCCAGGGTGAACGCACGGTGGCACCACCAGCAAAAAGATTGGTGCCACCGCCAGAAGGTTGCAAGATACATGTCCCCAGGGGCGACCCTGGCGGAGATAGCTCGGCGGGAGGCGGGACCCGGTGCCCACTCGGGAGAACCCTGCCCGATCACAGGATTAATCGTTCTCCGAGTCGGCGCTTACGCAGAGAAGACACGCCGAGCAGTGTGGAACGCCGAGCAGAGGCAGCTGTGCAAGCCTGAGCACCGTACGACCAGAGATCAAGCGCACGAGAGAAGCAGGGTGGAGCAAGGCTCATTCGCGCCCGCCCAATGCGGCGTGGGGCATGTTCTCACCTTACAGTCCCGCCCGAGTTCAAGAGAGCCTGCACGGTGGAGGAGCCAGCACCCACTCCGCAGCTGGAGGACCGCAAGCCCTAAGACAGGTCTCACTCGCACCAAGCAAGACCTGGGGCACCACCTGAGACCTGCGCGGCAAGTCCACTGAACCGAAAGGCAGGCGGAGGCTGCCAAATGGCACTACAGGACGTCGAGGCAGCAGAGGACAGAGACATGCACAGGATACTGTAATCTGCGGACGCTGCCCGACTCCACTGTGAGAGACCACTGCAGAGAAAACGCCAGGACGGCCTGAGACAGCAGCCGCTGCATGCGCGCAGCTGCACAGCTACTGCACCATGCCCCTGATGTAACCCACCACAGAATACGCGAGACAAGTCTAGTCCAACACGGCGGACAGTAAGAAGTTCGAATCCTCCAGTGCCAGATATGCTGAAACTCTTCCTCCTCCTCCTCCTCCTCCTCCTCCTCCTCCTCCTCCTCCTCCTCCTGGGGCGGGGGAGGCCCAACAGGACGCGCCCGAACGATACGTACGATTCCACCCAAACGTGCGACCCTGCATCGAGTGGTCCGAGAGCGGCGTGGGGGGCAGGCGGGCAGCGATCTCCAAGACCCCGAACCTGCCCTCCAGAATAATGAAGCTTGCATCATGTGCTCAGCGCAACCATCGAGCCGTGAGAACAGCCGTAAACGGCCACTCGATGACCAAGATCTCGGAGCGGCTCTGAGCGTAAAGCTCTGAGACCTTTGGGGCCCTGGCAAGTGCTGTTTGGAGGTGTGCTGCCGCGAATTCCCCTAGATAATCAACGCACGGCCAAACATCGCGAATCTTACCCCGCTGGTGTACCAACCGACCTGGACCAGGTACTTGCCCAGTAGGCTTCGCCCAGGGCACGTCCTGGAGCTCCAGACGGGGCCAGGCAGGGAGAGCGCGCGCGGCCAACCAACTTCGCAACCATCTTCGCAGTCGTTATCTTGTGGGAGACAGCCTCTCCTCTCTCTCGGAAGCAGGCGGACTCGGGTGTTACTCGTGGCCACATGTTGGCAGCTTGTCAGCATAGTCGATGCCTGCACGCCTGAGGTATTCGTCTGCCGACAGCGGTCTGCCAAGTACTTGGTGCCCACGCACCTAGATCACGTTCGAAGCATGCTGGGCTGCGCCGTTCCTAGCCTGCAACACGAAGCCTGCATGTACACGCTTGTGAGACTGCGCCAGTGGCATAGCGAGCTTCCAGTGATGAACAAGTGAACGGCAGTCCGAACAAACCGTGATCGCACCAGCGAGCATACACACGGCAGCCGCAAGCATGCCGCACTCGGCCTCCTGAGGCGTTTGCGGCGAAGGGGCCCACAAGTGACTTCCTCATCGAAGCCACGGGATCACCCCCAGGGGACAAACCAACCCCTCCAAATTCAGACCTGGAGCTTTCCTGAATCGGTTGCCTTTGGCCGCTGCTATCTATGAACAAGTGGCCATACAGGGTCAATTTTTCCCCCTGCAAAGGTCCTCCCCCCCAGGGGCATGCGTTTCAAAAATAATGTCGCCGTCGGTCAGATGTCGAGGCCCGTCGTCCCCACGATGGTTGAACAGCCCACGGGTAAACGAGAGAATCTTCCCCTTGGCCTCTGCCTCTTGAGCTTCCTGCACAAGGCGACCAAACTTGCCTATACCCCAAAGCCCCTTGCTCTCTTAGACAAGCACCGCAAACCCAGAGCTGGTGCAGCATGCTGTCAGGATGATCCCAGTACAACGGGCACAACACGGAGTCCACCTGATAGCTGAGGCTGCTGGCTCTGAGCAGCGTCAATACAGCACTTGCCGTCACATTGTGAATGCTGGCCCTCACCAAGGGCGAGAACCTTTTTTTGAAGCTGAGACGGCGTTCATGATGTCAACACACTCTGCCCGAGAAGCCCTCCTTGGTATCCACATCCCTTTCAAGCCCTCTCAGAACGGCCTGGCGAACTGAATTACTCAACAGCTTCGGCATAGTCAACGTTACAGCAATTGGCAGTCCAAAGTCGTCTGTCATCTCGATGAACGATATCATTGACCACCCGACCCTGGACAACGGCAGTCTGAAAACCATCATGAGCCCCGAAATCCGCCTCCAAGACACCTTGCGGTCATCCCGAACAGCCACTTCCCAAGCCCTTCGAAGCTCAGCCCAAGACAGAGCCCAAACGAGTTGCCGCGTGTGAAGTAAACAAGCCTCGCAGGCTCCCGTCGCAGTGGGCTTTCCCTGCTGCAGCCAAGCCTGTGGTCTACATCGCCACGAAAACGCAGCAGCTACCTTCGAACCTCCCTCCTCCCTCCTTTCTCCCTCCTCTCTCCATCCCCCCCTTCCCCATCCTCCTTTGTCCCCCGTTCTTGGTCCTCCCCTCTCGTCTTCCCCTTCCTCCTCCTCCTCCTCCTTCTCGCCTCCTCCTCCTCCTCCTCCTTCTCCTCCTCTCCTTCCTCCTCCTCCTCTCCTTCTTCCTCCTCCTCCTCCTCCCCATTCTCCTTCTTCTCCTCCTCCTCCTCCTCCTCCTCCTCCTCCTCCTCCTCCTCCTCCTCCTCCTCCTCCTCCTCCTCCCCCTTCTCCTTCTCTTTCCTCCTTCTCCTCCTCCTCCCTTCCCCTCCCCCCTTCGTTTTCCTAATCCAGCGCCTGCTCCTGCTCCTCCTTCATCCATTCCCTTCTAGTGACTCTGCCCTATCGCACACCTAGACGTGTTGGTAGGGCGGGCCGGGCGTTTCGCCAGAGGCCTCCTCACCATCTATGATCCTGAAGCCTGGAGTTTACGACAGTTTCACGGATAGAGGGCGGGTGTTTTTCAAAATGTGGCTCTCGCTTCAGCGCCGTGCGCATTCGTCTCAAGCGTAAGCAGCAGTTCCAAGGATGGGGGGCGGGTCATTGACAAAATGTCGCTCTCGCCTTAGCGCCGGGTTCGTCCGTCTTACAAGTTGGCAGCAGTATCAAGGATGGAGGGCGGGCGTCAAGGATGGATGGCTCGTCCGTTTCAAAGTGTGGCTCTGGCCGTATCGCCGCGCGCATTCGTCGTAAGAAAGTGCAGCAGCTTCAAGGATGGAGGGGGGTGCCTTTTCAAACTGTGGCTCTCGCTCCAGCTCCGCGCGCATTGACTTTTTATAGCTCGCAGCAGCTTAAAGGGTCATATGGCTGAAGTCACAGGAATGGTGTTCGGGCACGGTTTAAGGTTGTCAGAACGCAACAGTATCGTCTGTTCGCGTTGTCGAAGTCCCAGAGACGGTGTTCCGGCACGGTTCACGGTCGAAAGGATGCAGCAGTCATGTTGATTCGCGGCTTTGAAGCCCTAGGAGTGGTGTTTTGGCACGATTGAGGATTCTCAAAGGGTTGTCTTCCAACGGGGCACTTCCCGCAATGAAAATACATTCTTTTAGGGACCGTTGAATCAGGGGCTTGGAGGGCGGCTTGATTCCAAATCCGTTGATGCGTTTTGTGTTTACTCTAGTCCTCCTCCTCCTCCTCTTTCCGCGCGTGCGGAGCGACGACCGATGACGACCGATGCTAACGGCGACGGCGACCGACAGCGACGTCGACGCCCGACAACCGACGGCCGACGACCGACGACCGACGACCGACCACCAACGGCCGAGGTCCGACGACGACGACGGACGACGACCGACCGACAGACAATTTACGACAGTCTACCGATCGACGACCGACGGCCGACTATCGAAGACCGACGACGGTAACGACTGCCCCCGCCGCTGCTGACCTCCGGAGGCCCTCCGATGGCCTTCAGAGGGCCTTCGGAGTGTTTTCGGAGGGCCTTCGACGACTGCCGCGGCGACGACGGCCCGAGTAGCGCGGCTGAGCCTGGCGGCCCGAGCGGGCCGGCCCCCCCCGAGCGGGGGCGCGCGCCGCCGCGGGCGCCGGGCTGGCGGGAAGGCGCCCACATTGTCGTCGTCGATGTCGTGGTCGATGTCGTGGTCGTGGTCGTGGTCGTGGTCGTGGTCGTGGTCGTGGTCGTGGTCCTCCTCCTCCTCCTCCTCCTCGTCCTTCTTCTTCTTCTTCTTCTTATTCTTCTTCTTATTCTTTTTCTTCTTCTTCACCTCCTCCTCCTCCTCCTCCTCCCTCTCGCCCTCCTCCTCCTCCTCCTCCTCCTCCTCCTCCCTCTCGCCCTCCCTCCTCACTGCTCCGCCGCGCGCGCTCCCGCGCGCGCCCTCCTCCCCAAGCGCGCTCTTCCCCTCGAGACTTGTGACGTGGTGGTGGTGGTGGTGGTCCTGGTCGTGATTGTAGTCGTACGTCGTCGACGTCGTCGTCGTCGTTGTCGTCGTCGTCGTCGTCGCCGCCGTCGTCGTCCGTCGCCGTCGTCGTCGCCGTCGTCGTCGT